TCTTTCTTTCTTTCTTTCTTTCTTTCTTTCTTTCTTTCTTTCTTTCTTTCTCATCATACTATTTTATTTGCAAGTCTTTATATTTTGTGCTTGTCTGAAATAGCATGCAAATATACTACACCAATATATTTGATGCATATAAAAATTATAGAAATTATAAAAAGAACATTTATCTGCTGTCCAACCCAATACTGAACACATCTTTATGTGTACTTATGTGGCATAGTATGCCACTATGGTTAAATGGTCCAGATAGCCAAGTTGTTATTGAGAAGCTTTTCTGTACTGATTGTTGTTAACATTTGTGTCACTGAGATAGGTACAGTTTTCAATGAAGTTTCCCAAAGATGCAACACAGCTGTAACTGTTATCTTTATTATAAATAATCAAATGGAAGCCACTATAAACAATTGACAATCATGAACTCATAACTTCCCAGCCCAAAGTGGGGGAGGTATGTTACTTAAAAGGGCTATGGAACATAAGCTGATTTTTCAAGAAGTGGTTATCCCTCTGAAGCCACAGTAGGTTAGATTAGATGGAAGTTTGATTTGCAGCGATAGTGGGAGATAGTCCGCAGAGAAGGCAGAAGGCAACATTTGACTGTAAGAACAGCACTGTGCTACTTAATTCTGACCAGCAACAAAGCTCACTCCTATGTAGTAGGCCTGGATTATACTATGCTAACTTCTGTTTCCTTTGTGTTACAATCCAGTAGCATATTTCTAGGCATTTCCCTTTCTATGATGGTGATTTGCCCTTTTCCTTTCCCTCACTTGATCAGACATGACAGCTGTTTATATTCTCTGCATTTTTGCTGTGGGACAATTGATGGTGACATAAAAAATGTACTTGAAGACACAAGGGGGCATTAAGATAATTAAATCTAAAGTATGCAGATATCCATGGGGAAACAAGTAACAAAATGTGCATCACAACACTGTGCTTGTAATTCCTCCATTTACTTGCATATCAAAGTGCAACACAACTATGAACACATTTTGTAATTTTGCCATTATTGTGAAAAACAGAGAAAAAGAGAGTGAAGAGTTGCAGGTATATCTACTCTATCTGGTATGAATGAAGTTTACAATAGTGCCAACTCCTGCCCTTTTCCCACTGATATTAAATTAGGCAATATGATTGCACTTATTTGCTCAGCATACTTTTCTCAGCAAAATTACATATGGGAACAAATAGAGTACAGAGAAAACTTTAAAAAAAATGAACCAGTGTGGAATAAGTAATCAGAAATATAGAAGAACTTGTTATACAATATTAGAAGTCCCTGAATAAACACATAGAATAGTCTCCTGCATTTTAAGATTATAAATTTCTGAATCTATCAATCTAATCTACTTCCTAAAATTGTTCTCTGTTCTGCTTATTTTAAAATGTTAGTAATGGTCTAGTCTAGAGTGCAGTCCTGTAACATTTGTCCAGACAAATTGCTGTTTTCTTCCAATGGGTGCATAAACATTGACCAGCTGGAAGCCTGGCATTAGCCTGGCAATCAGTTCCAGTGATATGATATTACCTTGAGCAATTGGAGCTGTTCCATGGATAAGATGGGATCCTAACTGATGAAAAGGTATTTGTACAATTAAACTAACCATCCCCACTGGTTACAATTAAGACAATACAGTATGTGATATGGGAAATGGAAGAAGTTTGAATTTTTCTCTTTCGCATCTGTGTTGTAACTTTGAGGCTGAAAGGTTTAAATAGATAACCTACAAATAGGTCAAATATTTAATTTGTCAGAATCTTTGAAAGATTTGTATTTTGTAATAAATTTTCTTCCTTTCTTCCTTCCCTTCCTCTTCTTTCCATGGTTATTAGACAAATTTCAATTCCTCCATATAATATTAAAACATATAACCAAACAAAAAATATTCATAAGCCGAATCCTTATCATCCCGCTCATTATCACACTGTCACTTGATATCATTGGCTTGGAAGAAACAATCAACTCCTTTTCTCTCCATAGGCCCCCTAGAAATTCTTATTAACAGTACAGTTTGGGTTTGACTATCAAGAGGAGGGATAGAAATCTTTAAGGATCAAGGTCAGTTAAATGCTTTGATCAGCATTAGCAATTCTAGCAATTTTATTTTTAATGGATTTCTTACTGGCTGTGAATATTATTGTCCCAGCAGCCAGAAGAACTTAGAAGAATGCATATCCTTTGTGTAGTTTACAGGCATCCACATTCCATCAACACAGAAAAAAAAGACTGCTCTTTTTAAAAAATAGAGGCAGAACTGCAGAAAAGTTGTGGATTGAGGCTTTAGCATCTTCTCTAATTCAGGTCTGGAATTTTCAGTTAATTGAAAATCCAGGAAAAAAATTAAAATCTTATTTCTAATTGATTTATTAATATGGTGAAAGTCTAATGTTCTTATGTCTCTGTGCAAATTATGAAAGTCTTTAGCCAAAGCTTTTTATGCATGCATCAGGCTATATGATGCCAAATTTTCTCTGAAATATTCTTGACATCTGTAATTAATTAGTGACTATAATGTTAAGATTAATCCCCTTCTTTATAAGATTTTGGGGAAAAGAATAAACCATCAAATTATATCAGATCAGTATTATCATCTGATTTGCTGAAAGGTTAGGGTTTTTAGTCCTCTGTTTGCTCTCCCAAGCCAGTTTGTGAGATGGCGAACTACTGTATATAAATTGATATAATGAATAAATACATGAATTTAGTTCATGAAACCTTTGCCTTTGACTGATTGAAAGCACTGTGTACACTAAGGCATGTTATTGAAATATTATTACCCGATCATTCAAATGAAACTTTCGCTAATCATAAGAGTTAGTATTATTAGAGGTGTTCAATAAGTCCTTTATGATTACTCCAATGGATCAATCTTCAGGGTTGTGGGCAGTGGTGGGATTCAAATTTTTTTACTACCGGTTCTGTGGGTGTGACTTGGTAGGTATAGCTTGGTTGGTGTGGTAGGGGAAGGACACTGTAAAAACTCTATTCCCTCCCCACCCCATTAACCTGCTTTCCAGGTCCATTCTCCTGTTCAGGGCAACAAAAGAAGACCCAGGCGATCAGCTAGGACTTGGGAGGCAGAGAATAGATAGGGGCAGGGCCAGTCAGAAGTGGTATTCTGAACTACTCAAAATTTCCGCTACCAGTTCTCCGAACTACTCAAAATTTCCACTACTGGTTCTCTGAACTACTTAAAATTTCCGCTACCGGTTCTCCAGAACTGGTCAGAACCTGCTGAATACCACCTCTGGTGGTGGGCAATGCCACTGATTTACCTGGGCTTGCTGTGTATAGTGGCAATAGAGAAGGCTGCACAACAGGAAACCTTTTTGTACTGAAAATACCTCCTAATTTAGTTTTTCCAACCACTCAAGACTATTCAAAATCAATAGTTCCACTGAGTGCCTATTCTAAAGGAACAATGAAGGTAAATTTCCCAGGGTTGTCAGTTAAAATGGGTCTTTCACTGAAGTATGGAAGATCATCCTTCTCACCTTGCAGTGTATAGCAGGGGGGAGGTGAGGACTAAATGTGCCAAATTGACTAGAAACTGAAACAACAAATGCAAAGTCACAAATTATAATTTGTTCCTATTAACCTTGCAAAGTTCTTCAAAACAGAAAGAGAAAGCAAAACGAAGGAGAAAGTCCTCCCCAAGTACATACACTATTTTTTCCCCTGAAGCTTACTCACAAGTGTAATAAGGAGGTTGCTGCCTTTTGTGATAGATTTCTAATATAAGTAAGGAAATATCTTCCGATGTATGAAAATTCCTGCTGTTCTTAATATTGCTATGACAGCACTATGCAACAGGAGATGTTGAGCCTTAAATTAAATGCTAACTATAATATAGCCCCGAAACATTACATATATAACAGATTTTAAAGAAAACATTTTAACAGTCCAGGGAATTATTACAGGTCAAAATGTTCTAAGATGGGGACAGGTCATTTGACCAGAGATTTTTTAAAACATATACTTATTTTTGAATTGTGTTACTCAAAAAGTTGCTAGTTCAGTGTTCCGATTCTCTAAAACTAAGAATTTTAAATTCTGGAGCATTTTGCCAGCTCAGCAGTTATATTTTATAAAAGTATTGAGTAATTTTTTTAATATTTTTTTTTTGCATTTCAGGAGATACAACATCCAATTTATGAGTAAGGATTCAATTTTTGAATCTGGAATTATATCACTATCCTTACTTATTGTCAAGTATTCGTGTTAATTTTCTGATTTGAGCAACTTTGGAATACATATATGTAGCAATATATATGATTGGAGGGCCAATATTATGATCTGAATATACTAAAATTGTGCTTATATACATGTTTTCCTTGGGCACACTTCCAAAATTAGATATTGTTGCATTCCAATTCCAATGCATTACCAATTTATGAATTGTAATGAGAGGAATCCCATGAATTTATGTGAACTATAGATTCATTGTACCATGAAGATTTGGTGGAGGTGTGTGGAAGCCAGCCACAACTTTTTCTTAGAAAAGACATAAATTCTCCCGTATTCCTTCTGCTGGACACAAAAAAAGAGTAATTGCTTTGCAGGATATATTTACAGATTTCTTTTGCAGATTAGTGGATAGCACTCTACAGTCTATTTCAGGACTGCTGATGAAAAGTAACAATCATCTCTCTGCTGCTCATAATAAGCACAGTGGAATACTTCGGTCATTTTTTAAAATGTTAATGGTTAAAGATGAAAGAAGGAACATAAATTGTTAAATGTTAATACTTGCCTTGAGAAATACACTGTCTCTGTTTAATTCCTTACAGGAAGAATGGAGTGGTTTTAGTGGGGAAAGGAGCACCAAGTCCATTTTAATGTCAAAGTAAGTAATTATATACTTCAGTGCCTGAGTAGCTGATCTTACAGTAATTAGGAGGTTGGCTGGACATTGTTTCAAATTCCGCACAAGTCATCTTTGGGCGGTGGAACTGAAAACTGGCATACACAAGGAAGGCCATAGTTTTTGAGAAAAAAGATATTTTCTAAATTTGAATCAGTAGATTACTGTCATCAGCGTGGTCTCCTCAGAAACTTTTCAAATGACAAGTTGATTGCACTTCTTTTATTGCAAGCTGCAATTCTTTTGGACATGTGTAGGGTCACAATGTATATATAAAAGGATTGGGACATTTGTCACCTTGGCATATGGCAGTTTTTATTGTTCTGTTTCCTTTGATCCTCCTGTGGGTGCCAGTGGTTACTGGAGAGAGGATTCCCTCATCAGATAAAATATCATAACACCTTTGATGAATAATTTGATGAAAGGTCATAATTTATTCTAGGTTTATTTTGGAGGTGGTCTAAGCTACTCTTTGGCACAAATGCAGGGAGAAAATAAGACACTCTTCGCTTCAGTATTTGATAACACAAAAGCTTATTGTTTATTCCTTCCTCCACAAGGAGTCCTAGATAATAGCTAAGCAAACAAAATAAAGTTGGATCTAACCCGAGTTTCCTGGGATTCAATATTTATGATAATTTCCCCTCATTACCCTTCATTACCCCTGATTACCCTTATTACCCATGATTATTGTTATTAATTATAATTATTCATATGAACTCAATCACACGAATCGTGGTTAATGCGTAGAGCTTCACCTCATAGCATTTTACATAGACCGCGCATATTATTATGATACAGAGTTTATTCTGATGAAGAGGAATGCCATCCTTCAGGTCGCTGTGGCTTCGATTCAAACGCGTGTGTTGGGTAGTCGCGACAGGTGGCACCATCTCAAAGTCATAAATGTAAAATTCTGATTCTGCCAACTTATCAGGTTTTTTTTTTTCCAGCTTTGTTCTTAGACACCATTGTAATAAGAGATTATGATATTCTGTTTCTCCACATAACGGGCAGGAGGAATAACTATAAGAACATGAAGAAGAACTACAATAAGACAACATGCGGGTGAAAGGAATCCGAGTCTGGGCCAGAACTGTAACCTCGGTAAGCTCCTCAACTGAAGACACTCTCTAGTTTTCACAAAAATAAAGAGAGAGAGGAGAAAAGCACATTTCTTCTGATTTCTGAACAGAGAATTATGTTATTGTAACCTTATAATAAAAGTAGTATTAGCATGACTTTGGTTTCCTGGTCTGTTCTGCCTTGAAGGACTACACTCACTTACATCAAGCTCTAGTAGATTATACTTTATTAAACTTCATTTCACATTAACATTGCATTAATGGTTATTTTAGCACAGCGATCCCCAACATTTCTATCTCTGTGGCCTGCCAGTTGCAGAAGTGGCACTGGGGGGGTGGTGGTTTCATGTACACACTGGCTACTTGCACAAATGGAGCTTTGCATACTCGTCTGCCACTTGCACTGTCTAGTTCCCAATGGCCATGGACTGGTATTGGGCTACAGACTGGGAGTTGGGGAGCCCTGCTTTAGCATACTGGTTCTTTCCTTTTAAACAGATAAACATCTGGACAAAACCTATTTGTGCTTGTTTACAGAATGATATTTAGTTAGGTTATAATGGAAATTAGTGCTTCTTTTTAGTTTTACCTGTATTGTTTCTCTCTTTTTTCATTGTCTTTTTACTTTTACATTCAGCAGCTATCTCTCTTATCCTACCCCTTCTATATTTTTCTTATTTTTTCTTATAATAAAGGGACAGTTAACTCTATATTAGTATTCTACTAAAGCAGTGAGTTATCATTTTCTTTTCACTCCTAAATAGAAGAAATTGTTCCCATCTCTAAATTAATCCTGGAACCAATATTATAAGTACTTCATCTTTGCATTTATTCACATTATTCCTTACTTTCCCATCTCATGCCATATTCACCATAGTAAGAAATTATTTTTGATATAGCTTCTTTCCAGTGAGCACTTCCACTGTTGGATATTTGATCACCATGAATCTGGTGTTAATCATCAGCTGTCATATTTTTAAATAGCTTGAAAATAGCTGGGTAGAGTGATATGAGCTGGAGGATATTGGCATAATATCTCAGCAATCACAGAATACTTAACAGACAATCTGCTAAATCAATCAGTACTCAAGAAAAAATAAAGAGCACTACATACATCTGTAAACCTAGAATCATTAGAAATACATACATAAACAAATAGCTATGATATTGAAACACCATTTTCTATAGTTTTATTTATTATTATTAATATCCTGGACTAGCTAATCTGTAATCCTGTAGCTCTATGGAAAGCTATCCAGGCAGTTAATCTTTTCTTGTCATTTAATAAAGGAGACATTATTTCACCATCTAAACTTTATTTAACACTGAAAAATCTGGTATAACTGTAAAAAATAATAAAAAGTACATTATTACAACACAAATAACAACTAGCAGCCATGCTGCACAAAAGAACCATGTGCTCCTAGCTATTATATGGCCTCCTTTCTGACTAGGCAAAAATATAACTGTCCCTAAACTGTCCCAAGACCTAAACTGCCTAAAGGTGTGTAGGTATTCACTGCTTACCCATGATGGGTTGAGATTGTAGCTGAAATGGAACAGTTGGCCTTCAGAATTTGTGGGAGCTCCATCACTCGAAGCTTTCAAGAAGAGACTGGACTGCCATTTGTCAGAAGCGGTGTAGGTATAGGGTCTCCTGCTTGGGTAGGAGGATTGGACTAGAAGACCTACAAGGTCCCTTCCAACTCTTTTAATCTGAAATACTGGGAATGGTTTTTCTTAATGGAAGATGAAGGCTGGAATTGCCTCACTTCCCTTCTTTTTCCTATCAATGCTTATAAGAAGAAGGGATGAGACAGAAAAGGGGAGGTAAGTAATAATTCCCGAACGCTTCCTTATGAAGGGAACATGCTGCATCCACTTTGGCCAGCAAGGTCAGGACTGCCAAATTTACCTATAAGCTAGCCAAATAGGAAAAAAAAATTAACCCTGTCCTGCCAAAGCAGCAAATGGTCTGGGGACAGAACAATTAAATGTATATGTCTTCTATCTCACTACTTGAGCAACTCTAGTTATCAGAGTTAACCTAATACATATTATATGTATTAGATTTATATCCCTTCTGTTGTCCATTTCATTTTTCAAAATAACCAACAAAGGTTGCTGGGGTGAAAGAGATAATGATTGCCCCTAAATTATCCAACACACTAGCAATGGCCGAGAAAGGGTTTGAATTTGGATCCTCCCAGTCCTAGTCCAATTCCTTAACACTGCAGGTAAGGATATCTTAATCACTCCTAAGGTACTCTCTTACATCGCTAATACTTTATCTCTTATGAAAAGGTTAGAAAAAGTTGCTGAGGCTGGTAGTTATTTATATGGTGCAAAATAAGTTCATCGTCAATTAGTCCACTGCTCATGAGGCTTAAGGACACCTTCATTTCTGCTCTGCCAAGGCACCAGATAGCCACTATTACTTCACAGCAGTGTTTTTTTTAAAAGGCAGTGATTGTGTTGAAGTAGAAGAAATGCTTTATTTTTCATGGACCAAGCCAGAATCCTTGCAAAGAAGATGTACAGTCTCCCTCACCCACACATGTTAAAACACTCACTACAAATTGTGAGAAACTGACAAGATGGCATTTGATCCAGTTTGCTCTTGCATTACAATTAATTTAATTTTGCCTGTAACCAGGACAATACTTTATGTTAAACCATGTAAATGCCAACCTCATCTAAAAGAAACACCCCGTGACTTCTAAAATGAAGCTTTCAAAATGATTTGGCTCTCACTGACACCTAATTCAACAAGGTGCAACGAGTCAGATTAGTACCTTTTGCTTTTAAAGGATCAGCTGACATACAGCTGAATTTCCCCCCCCTTCCTCCTCCCATATAACCCATGTGTCATTTTCATGGAGCAAAGGCCATACCAGACTTTGGTCGAGATGCCTGTCTAGCTGACATTCTTTAATTTGATTTATGTCAGTTCCTGCACTGAGACTGAAAGCTGGCATTATTTGCAATAAAGCAAAATACCATTTGTTTTAGAAACCCATGGAGCAGTGGTGTATTCATGAAGATGGCAATAAATATGAGGCGTCTCCTGATATGTGGTCATAATCAGATTCCTTGGCTCTGTTGCACTTTGTCAATATTCAAAGGTTAGGTCTCCATTTCCACAGAGCGTTAAACCTTTCTAAAACTATAATGACACTCAAAATACAAACACTGGCAAAACGAATGTTTTCAAAAGAATGTTTCAGTAAGGTTATTTCTCCTCTCTATACTGATGTGCAACTTTAGTATAAAATTTAAGATTAGATAATTATAGCATCATGTTCTCCATGCTGCTAAAAGTATTTTATGAAATGTACTATTACAGACATAATTTGTAATAATCAGATTAAAACATGGTAATATTTTACACTAAGTATTAGTAGTACAATGGGTTTTTTGTTTTGTTTTAGAGATAAGCAATATAATGGGCTTAATGGGACACTTTCCCTGGCTTTTTTGCTTCTAAAAAATCATGTTGATCAATCATTTCATCAGCATGGGACCATGCTCTACCTTCATTGATCCATGCATTAAAAAACCACGTGTTGTAGTCTAATACTGTAGATTTGAATTCATAGCTTTTAACAGATCTGTGGTCATAAGTAATCAATAGGATTATTCCAGTGACAATGTGCTCAGACAAAACTAGCCAATCTGAACCATTTACAATAAATCTAAAGGTGCTTTATCAAGAGGCAACTGGACTTTCTAGTTTTTCATTGAGGACATTTTGCTTCTCATTCAAGAAGCTCATCCACTCAATTGTAGGGAATGAAAGCAGGGGTGGGATCCGACCGGTGTAACTACCGGTTTGGTGATTTTACATTTTGCTGCACACACGTGTATATCGTCATCAGATAGCTGCCTGGACAGCTGAGCAGTGCTGCACGCGGTGGTTGAAAAAGCACTTTCTTCCTGCTTTTTCAACTGCAGCTGTGTCGTGCAAAGCAGCTGGGGTTGAAAAAGCAGGAAATAAAGGTCGGTTAAGAGACTGGGCGGGCGGGTGGGCCAAAACAGCAGCAGACATAGAACCAGTTCTATGTATGTTCTCTGTCTGCTGTTCTTCAGAGCTACCGGTTCTACAGAGGTGAACAGAACCGGTAGAATCCCACCCCTGAATAAAAGGATTTATATTCCTTGCAAACAGCTGATCATTTTCATTCTTTTAACAAGTCAGTAAGTGGCCATTGTTTTTTAAATGCAGATGGACTGCTGAATCCAAGCAGCAACTAATAGATTTAGGAACCTGATGGCAAAGTAACAGAGAGTTAACACTAACTGATCTATGAAGTATGCAGCTCCCTTTATAGGAGTAGGATGACCCAGATTTGTTCCTTTGGTTGCATTGGGTTCTTTCTGACCACCTTTGTCCAGCCTTCCTCTCCATGTGGGGGTCCCTTGCATTTGGGGAAGATTTTAGCTCCACCTTTTTAATCTCTAAGGCCAGCAATACTTCCCTCTTCTTGTTGCTATGTAACCTGAATCTCCTAAGGTTGACAATCCTCATGATCCTCCATAACTGATCTAGCTAACAGGCCCTTCATTCCATTGCAATCATTGGATTCACTTCTCAGAGTTGTGATCAGTCTGCCATTTCTTCCTCTAGAAGCCCCAAAATAATCAAGCCTTCACCCAAAAACTGTAATGTGTTATATTTCCTTTCCTAAGAGCAGGGAAGAAGACACAGATTTGGTGCTCATTGAAAAAGCTGTTTCCTTTCACCCAATGAATTTCTCTGAAAACCTGAGGTGACTGGCTCAAGTAATCTTAGAAACTGAGCTGACATACAGTTTCCATGTTATTAATTGATTATGTGCCATTAGGTTGGCGCTGATTCTTAGTGTTATATCTTATCCAAGGTACTTCATCAAATGTATCTTCTTCAAGGTACTTGGTCTTTCAGATCTTCTAATGGTGTGCCCACTGTGTGGTACATTATATTGCTACCAAAATGCAGGAGGTGACTCAATTTTGTAATGAGGGTAGCACTTTAACAAAGCAAGTGTCCAGTGCAGGTGAATACCAATTTCACCAACCAAAAAGTAGTCATTTGCCAAAAAATTCACAAGGGTCAGCTGAGGTAGCCACTGGCCCATCCAATCCATGTTATTTCAATTGCATATGATCTTTTTTTGAAAAATCTATATTTTACAGTAGCCAGATGTCCTGATATAATGCTGTCCTAGCCAAAGGTATGCCTTTTTTTAACTTATCAGGATCTCTCCATTAAAAATTCAAGAGCTTCAAGGTCACTTTCCTTTGACAAGGCTTTGATTGGTGTTCCCCCAGAAAGTCTAGTCAGACTCTGTTACAGAGCACTAGACTGATGTAGCCTGGTCATTCTGATCTGACTGCTAAGTCAGGAGGTCAGTTAAGCTATACAGTACTATCACCTGGTGCCATGCTTCACTAATACAGAGCAATCCACCTCATCAAACTGGGTCATTGTTGAATTAGACACCCTAATCTCTCTATATAAATATACATATTGATTGAAATATTTATATAATGAACAACTACAAGGGGGACTATTAAACAAAGACAAAGATTCAGTGCAAGATGCAAATATCTGGTTTATTTTTTTCTGAATATACATTTCCATTTAATTCGAAAAGTGTAGACAAAATTGTTTCTTTTAAACTGATTTATTTTCAAACCTTGAAAATACCACCAGCCATTTGCAAAAGGCAGCTTTACTTGAAACAGCTTGTATCCTATGATGATACCTTTAAGCAACAACTTCTGTCTATCTCGGGTTCTTAAGACAAGCTCAATAGGTGAATAAAAATGCTAAATTTGATCTAAACATCCAGCTGACTATGTGACTAACCATAATATAGAATGTAATTTGCCAAATCTGGAATATCTCCTCTCAAAATGAAGTTTAATTGGAATGTATGAGTCAAGTCTGCTAATCTCTATTACAAGGACTTGATATATATTACTATTCTGTGGAAATGCTAAAATTTGGTTACAAATATACATTTAACAATCTTACCCCCATCACAATTAGAAGAATTTTGATGTAATAAATGTTTTTCAACATAAAAGAGGATATCATTATTTTCAGGTTCCAAAGAAGGAAACCTGAGAGTTAAAACAGTGAAAAAAAGATCTGAGGTGAAGAGCAAAAACTGAAAAACTAAAATACTTCTCTAATTCTGCTAGATGATGTAAGAGAATTTGTTAGAGGACTTCAAATCTGCACAGGTTTTTCAGAGTACAATTGGGTTTTTTAATGGATAAAACAACCATTAATCCTTAATTTACCGTATCACTTCTATCTAAGCATCAGGTGAATGGCTGATTTAAGATCTGTGCTATAAATAGCTGTTTTTTGGCAGAAACAATATTTTTACTCCAGAGGTGCTAAAAGAAAACATAATATCAAAAGTATGTCTATAATTTTCCAATGAAAGACAGCAGGCTCTTCACCTATAATTAGAAGATTCAGATGTACATCTCAGTTAATGAGTAGGGGAAAGTACAGCTTGGTGCCAAATTTCAGGTACAAGGCCATTTTTATTAATAAAAGTGAAAAGAACAGATATATGTGAGCCTCCAACTCCAGCTGCTTCTCGGAGAATAAAACCAGCAGTGCTTTCCAGATTTCAAATATCAGGCTGTTTTCCTAATTTCCTACTATTAGTTAAAACCCTGTTTGTATCCTTGAATTTCTTACAAAAATATTAGTGGTTAGGAATTTTAGTCTCAAAAGGATAATTTAACCCCTTTCTCTATCTTTGTTAAAACAGCAATCTAGGCTGTACTTGATGAATTGAAACACAAGGAGCATACTAATTCTGTTCCCCATCTTCCATTATTTTTCTGTCTACCTGTATCAATAGAGGATTGCCTAGTCGAATACATGTTCCATCCAGACAGAAGAAGCACAATATCAATAGTCTTCAGATTGCAAACGGACTGGTGTGATATTATTATCCAAATAATATCTATTGCCTCCCCAACAAACTCTTCTCTGCAATCCCTCTCCTCAACAAGTCCCACATTATGTGTTACCATTTTTCCAGTTATCACATTTTCTCTCCATTCTGTTTATCTTTCTATCGCTTCTTTTTCTCCTCTCCTATCCCTAACACTTCTCTTCCTTCCAAGCCCATCTTCCCCATATTTTCCTTTGCCACCGCTCTCCCTCTCCCTCTCTCTCCCCCCCCCCCCACTCTCTCTTTCTATTGTCACTGGAATGTTTTTAATGTTGCTAATTTCAGCATTGGTGGCCCATAAAAAAATGAAGCAAAGGAAAAAATGAAGCAAAAAAAAAAAAAGATAGAGCCGGGAGTCAGCTTAAGCCAACTTTAGGATTTGACCTTTATCTTTCTATACAAAGTGCAATGTGACATCATGCATAATTAGAGGCCGTAAATTAAACACCACAAGGCTGTTGAGACTTTCCCTAGTATAGAATGTCTCTATGTGTATTATAAAAAGCATCAAACTTTTTGTAAAATATTATAGTGTTACTTTATGTAGCCAATGAAGGTTACATTCACTGAGATGGAGATACAGGGTAGTTCTATATTTTTCCCATCTTATTATAAAGAAGGAATAGCTTTTATTTTTAGAATGAATAATTCAACACAAAGTCCTGTTCCTTTGCTTTGGTTTCTCAATTGGCAACATC